AGGAACTCAAGCCCTCTTCACAAGATCACAAGAAAGATCTGATGGAAGAAGGCCCTTTGATGGGGAGGCTATCCACCCACGACCAACAGCCCAAGAAGTGAACGCAACCAACTGAGTGATACTTACAATCACCACTCTATAGCAAAATAATTTTCTAATCTGTAGTCTTGTTGGAGTCTTATTCATTTCAAACTATGTAGTACTGCCCTGATGTCTACCTTGAGCAGTGGCAGACTGGCTCCCAAAAAGGGCTTGGGATTTGCAGATAAAATTGGGGGCGCCGATTTGCGGGGCACCAATTTGGTATTAACCTCCACAGGTTAAATGCTTTATGAAACTTAAATAGGAGGGCGGGATCCGGGTGTTGATTGGCTGGTCCAAGCTATCACTCACTCAGATGTCATGCTCTGGGTGGTAAATATTGGGAGCCAATCACCGGGGTGCTTGGGAACCATTCTACAACAACAAATTACATTTGTATAGCGCCTTTCATGTCGGGAGGACGTCGCAAAGCATTGGGAGCACTCAGAAAATTTCCCAATTAGCCAGTCCGGTCTGCCCCTAACGTTCATTACCTGGTTACATCCTATCTCATAACAAACACCGCCCAAACCCTCATTCCCACCTTTGTTACGATGGGAATGACACAAGGTGGCGGGGTAGCACTCCAGAATGCAACCCCACATGAAGGGCACTATATAAATGCAAGTTGTTGTTGTTACCACTTGACCAGGCGTTTCCAACACACTCCTCGTCATCTTCCTAGTTCCACCAAATCCATAAATTCCAGCTGATCCAAACCTCTGCCACCCATATCATCATCTGCACCAAACTCCCAACAGATTGACTTCAAAGCCCTTACCCATATATCCCTTCATGTCCTGGGACCTCTCTATCTCTGGCAACTGGATCGACACCTGAGAAGTAAAAACTTTAAGGGATACGGGGAACAAGATGCAATGTGGGATTAATAATAAGGGTCACATAAAAACAGATAACGGTGACGTGGACACAATAGGTCAAATGACTTACTTCTGTGATGAAAATTGCTGTGAGAATATCTGCAAGCTTCTCCCCCTAATCCAGGTCACGCTAAATGATATGTGCAAAGTAAGGGACATGTTTTAAGGGGTCCATAAGGATTTTATATGGCACTGTTGTAACTTAGGTGTGTTATTTTGGAAATATGTTGACTGGGAGCTGCAAAAAATATTTTGTTGTGGTAAAACATTGACATAATTTGCACAGTATGATATCTTTACAAGCTGCAGGAAATGCAGAGCAAAAAACATTTGCCACTTTCTTGTTCTTCTAGGCATTACTTTCAACTTGGAGTAAATATTTTATCATATTGTGCCCATGACTAATCCTCTATTATTCTCACACTGTGATTAGTTTGGCAATCCAAGGTGCTCAGAGGCTTTGAAGTAATTAAAACCAGCAAGAGATAATTAACTGCTGTAACTGTGGTAGTTCTCAACGTTTGCTGTTTAAGACCCAAGGGCAATGGTGAGGCACACTTCTGAAGAGATGTGCATTGACACAAATAGCTGTGCAATGGTAAGGACTAAGTTACATTGTTTCACATATAAAGTATGAAGATATTTTTCCCATGTCTACATTGGCTTATTTGTTGCTTATCTCATTCATATTAATCATCCTCATAGTACTAAAGTTTACCATTTGTCAAACTCGAGGCTATGACAGAGGTTAACTACTGATGCAGTGATACTATACGGTAAAAAACATAATAATGAGATATGTAGATTAGAGGGGCCTGAATCATAGAAAATGAATGAAGTGTTATTTTAAGATTATTAATGAGGCATAAATTCAGATATTTTGAAATAATTTGGCTGCAAGAATTAAGATTAAGTATAATGCAATATCTACAATTTCAAAGATATTTATGTAATAAATGTGGATCTTGAACAAATTGGTTATATGTCAAAAGAAATTGTTCTAACTGTGTAGATCACTGGAGATGTCACATCTAAAATACTGGGGTAGGTTTTTGATCCTGTTGAAGAGATTACACAAAAGAGCAATCAAGGGTTACATTTGCCAATACAGAATGGTAGCCAGAAATAGTTTTTTACCCAGAGGGTAATTAACAATTGGAATGGGTTGCCAGGAATGGGAATTGAAGCCAGGGCGCTGGATAGATTTAAGAAATAACCTGATGTTGTAATGATAGGGCATTCTGGAAGGATGAGATCAAGGGGGGCAAAGTGCTTTCCTCATATCTTGTGATGTGTGTTCTTTTCTCATTCCATCTTTTCTTTTGGCTTGATTCTTGTACTTTGTGGTCAGCTTGACTCAATTGATAGCATTCTTATCTCTGGGTGAGAGGATTGTGGGTTCAAGGCCCATATCTCTCCTCCCTCATATACCTTAGTGTGACTGCACTTGGGTGGTTCAAGTCCTACTTGACCATCCGTCTCCACTTCACCTCAGCAAATGGTTTCTACTCCCGCCCCCGCCTGGTCACCTGCGGGTATCCCAGGGCTCCATCCTTAGCCCGCTTCTTTTCCTCATCTACTTGCTCCCTCTGGACGATGTTATCCACAGACTTGGGCTAAACTTCCACCTGTTTGTGGATGACACACAAATCTACTTTACCTCCTCCAGTACCAACTCCAGGTCCACCGATGTTCTATCAGCTTGTCTGGCAGACATCAGGGCTTGGATGAGTGTGAACTTCCTGCAGCTGAATATGGATAAGATGGACGCCATACTCCTTGGCTATCACCAACTTCTTCACTCCTGCGGATCTGAACTCCTCAACCTCCCTGGCCTCTTCAAGATCCTCACTCCTGTGTTCAAATCCATTCACTCCCTGGCACCTCCCTACCTCTCCAACCTCCTCACTCCCCAATCCATCACCCGGCGCCTCCGCTCGACTGGCTCCGGCCTCCTGTTCATCCCTCACACCCTCCACCCATCATCGGAGGTCGTGTTTTCAGCCACTATGCCCCAAAACTCTGGACCACACTCTCTCAATCCCTCCGCCTTGCCCCCTCTCCCCTTTCACGTTCTGCCTGAAAACGTTCCTGTTCGACCGTGCTTAAGGCTACCTCCCCCTTCTCCCCAGCTTGGAGTCAGGCACCGTCATTGTTAACCCCTCTGAGATGCTACCCTGCAATGGAGGGTACTATATGAGTGCAAGTTGTTGTTGTTGTTAAGTGCATAGTCTATCTAGGCTGAACCTTCAGTTTACCATGACCAAGGTCAGTCAACCTTTGGGAGAGACAGTAAATCAAGGTCCTGTCAAGTATCATGCAAGTATTCTTTATTTATTTGATATCTTTTTCAGATTTTTTGGGGGGTGGATTCTGCTCTAATACCACAACAGCATAAAAGGTTGTAACCAGCTCCCTGAGAATAAAGAGCAGATCTTTCCTATGTTCATGTTTCCTGTATTTTATAGCAGTATTCTTTCTTGTGATATCTTGTAATATACACTAGCTGTACCTTGGGGCAAGGTTGGGAGTGACACTAGGTGGTGCAGCATACCAGATAATACTGGGATTGCATATTAATGATATTCTCGCACAATTCTTCATACAATAAAAATGAACAAGGCACTAACAATAATTTCATTGAACGACTGCAGATAGCTTTCTTCACTGTCAAAGTGTCTGCCCTTGTAAATGTAATGTTAGTAGAAATATAGATGTTGCCATTCCCACGTTTAGACTTCATGGTAAATAAAGTCAATTGTTTTGCTACTTTAAAATCCAAAGAATATTATAACAGGGGGGATAATACATCAGTTACAGGATACCAAGCATACAGCATCCGAATGTCAGTTGGCGGGTATTCCGGATTGTACTTTTCCAGGCAAAAGCTTCTGCCTTCAAGTTTCCAGGTACAGCAAAGGTGAAGGTTATAGATGCAGTTTGTTAGGCATAACCCCAGCATGGCTGCATGACGCAGGTTTTAAGCACAGCCCAGTACGGGGTCCATGGGTGCAGTTGTCAAGCACAGCTCCAGTGTAGGTCCACAGTGCAGGGTCCAGGTTGCATTATACAGCATTGGTGTGTGGGGTGCAAGTTGCATTACACAGCCTTGCTCTAGGGGGTGCATGTTCCATTACACCCCCCCATTGCAGTACGTGCAAGGCCATTTCCCCTTCTCTCAGGCCACCAAAGCCCTCTTCCACGCATTTATTACATCTAGGCTACTATGGCAACTCCCTGCTTGTTGGCCTTCCCAACGCTTCCCTCCACAAGATGCAGATCATCCAGAACTCTGCAGCTCGTGTCCTCTCCCACACCAGGCTCCGTGACCCCATCACCCCCCCCCCACCCTCGCCCGGCTCCACCGGCTCCCCCTCCCCCAGAGTTCAAAAATCCTTGTTCTCGCCTTCAAAGCCCTGCTCCTTCCCACCTCTGTGACCTTCTGACCCCATATTGACCTGTCCACTCTTTCCGCTCGGCAGTTTCCAGCCTGCTCCACATCCCACCATCGGCGCTCAGGCCTTCAGCCTCTCTGCCCCCACCCTTTGTAACTCCATCTCACAGCCCCTCCACCTCCCTCCCTCCCTCCCGCCCCCCCTCCCAAGTCAATCCTCTTCAACCGCACCTTTGGTCACCCTCCCATTCCCACCTTCCCTGCCCTCCTGATCCCAACCCTTTGCTCGTGTCCAAATTCCTGACTGTCCAGCGCCTTGGGACCTCCTCCCAACCCGAAAGGCACAATGCAAATGTCATTTGTTGTTGTTGTTGTTGTGGTGGTGGTGGTGGTGGTGGTGCAAATAGCACTACACAGTCTCCAGGTGGGAGGCAGCTGTGGGAGTGCGGGTTGCATTGCATTGCGCAGCCTTGGTGTGGCACGGAGGGTGCAGGTTGCGTAACACAGTACCGGGTGGGGGTGGGTGTGTGTGTGGGGTGTGTGGGGTGGGGGGGGGGTTGCAGGTTGCATTACACAGTCCGGGTAAGCGCAGCCGCCGCTGTGTGGTGTGTGTGTGTGTGTGGGGGGGGGGGGGCTCTGCCGGCCGCTGGGGGGCGCTGTGCGCGGCTCCGCTCGGCGCTCGGCTCTCGGCTCTCCCTCCATATTGCGCGATGGCGGAGGACAGCGAGTCGGCGGCCAGTCAGCAGAGCCTGGAGCTGGACGATCACGACACCTGCGGCATCGACGGCGACAACGAGGAGGAGAACGAGCAGACACACAGGTGAGGGGAGCGGGAGAGAGAGAGAGAGAGAGAGGCCCCGGGGGGGCGGCTTCCCACAGCAACCCCTGTAGGCCGGGGGGCCGGGGGGCCGGGGGGCCGGGGGGCACCTTGTGGGGGCAGCGAGCAGCCCCGCCACCCGCTCAGGCACAGCCCCGGGGCCCGGGACCGGGGCCGCGTTATTATTGATCATCATTCGTAGTAAAGAGCGTCTCCAACCCAACCCCCAGAGCCCTGAGGGGAAATAAATACCCCCCCTCCCCCCCCCCCCACACACACACACACACCACATTATAACCCTCTCTCTCTCTCCCTCTCTCCTCTCTCTCCTCCTCTTGTTGCCAGAAAAAAGGGGAATTAAAATAAACCAATGTGGCCGCCCTGGAGAGTCAGGCCTTTCAGCACTTGCTGGCGGGGCGGGAAAGAGGGGGATACTGAGAGATTCCCTCCACCACCACCACCACCACACTTCCTCTCCAACCACAACTGCCCTCCTTCCTGCTCATCCTCTGGGGCTTTTTCTCTCCATTCCTCTTCTTCTTCTCCTCCTCCTCTCTCCAACTCCCCCCCTCCCTCCCTCCATCCCTCCATCTCCCCCTCTCTCTCTCTCCCTCCCTCCATCCCTCTCTTCCCCCCCTCCCACCCCTCTATCTCCTCTCTCTCCTTCCATCTCTCTCTCTCTCCCTCCATCCCTCCCTCTCTCCCTCCCTCCATCCCTCTCTCTCTCTCTCTCTCTCTCACTTCCAGGATATTTCATCTATCATGAATGCTGGCAGCACGTTTTGAGGGAGAAAGAAAGTCTGCGACTTGCACAGCCATCACCTCACCTGAGCATGTGACAACTGTCAAAAAAAAAGGCACCAGGATCTTTCTCTCTCTCTGTCTTCCTCCCCCCATGGCTGTGAGAGTGACAGCGACAGCGACTGGGCACTCACTGCCTTCTGCTTTTGTGTGTGCTGTGTTGTCGGGTACGAATGTCCACCTACTGTGGTCATGTCACCCAAGCGGGAAAGGTTTCTTCTTCGTGGATATTGGAGGAAGTCTTCTTTATTTGAACGCACGCACCTTTTGTTCAGCGCATTTGTTCTTGTCACGTTCAATGTTTAGCAGTGAGGGAAATGACATTGCTAAGCAGACCATACATAACATCTTGAATGAAACTGGTCTTTATATAAAAAAAATCTTTGGTGAATTAACAGTGACACATCCAATAGAACAATCAGAATGTCAGTGTTTGCTCAGCTTCTTAAGCTGTAAAGTTTTTTTTTTAACCTACAGTACCACGATAACATGTTTCTCCTGAACATTTTTCCCTACAATTCTCCTGAGAGTACACATTGACAGACGATTTGAATCTGGTAGTATTGCAGCAAAGACCGATTCTGTCCTCGCCCAATGTCTGTGTATATGAACCTCTATTAAAGACTGATAACAAACATGGATGGGAATCCAGAGTTCTGAGACCATTTGCAGCACCCTTGTGCCTGCGTCAACGAGATTAGCTAACTCATGGCAGTATTCCCAACAGAACCTTCTCAGTTGGTATGGCTCAGCTACTCACTGCCAATATGTTTAATCCACAGCTGTGGAAGATATAGGGTCAAATAAATATTAAACTTAGTATGCTGCATCCATACTAGTTTATATGTGGGTAGCTGAGTTGTGTGACCTTATGCTGGTGTCATTTTATACCTAGTCTGTTTTAGATTTTGTTTCATTGCTTAGGAAAACTTGCACTTTGGATACGTTTTCATAACAAGCAAAGGAATAGTTGAAATTACAGGGTTATGCAGTTTGCTTGGTGAAGGGGAGTGCCAATTTATTTTAAAGCACCCCTATTAAATTTGGAGTCATTGATAGTTGCAAGCAATTACAGCAATAGTTCATTATGTCAGGAACCCCAATGAATATCTGTCACCTGAATACCAAGGTTGAATTGTTTTCGAATATTTTACTATATCTTTTACTACCATTTTACTATGCTGATATTTTAATTGGGTGAATTGTATTCACATTGGGGTTTGTTCTTTTGAGGGTATTAGCTGTCGTTGCCACAAACATCTGGCCGTGATGCAAGGTGACATTTGTAATGCAGTGTAATACAAACAAGTGATTATCATTGCTCCAAGTTGCTACAATAATTATGGAAGAAGCTTGCTTTGAAAAGAGGACTTTCAAATTTTGCACATGGAAATTGCTATTTTTGCTGTTCAAAAGTTAGAATTTTGGCACGTTGCAACTTTTGGCTCTACATAAATTTCTTTATATATGAGGCTAAATTTAAAAATCAAACATTGCATGCTTTACATGTGGTTTCAGGTCAGATGTTAATTGTCACAGTATAATCGGTTCGATAGCATGAATACTAATGCAAAAAGATAATATAGTATAGCATGGCATTAAAGGGCATATAAAAAAGATTTATTGTGCTGAACTGTGGTATTCAAATATGAAGAGAAACCTTTGTGCAGTTAATGATGTCCTTCTGTTGCTACTTTATTACTTTTCTCACTTGTTTTCAAATCACTTTATTCCCTTGCGCCTCCTTACCTATCCGACCGCTTACCCCCACTCCAACCACCCGCTGAACTCTGCTCGGCTGGCTCCATCCTCCTATTTGTTCCTCGTACCCTCCGTTCCACCATCGGTAACCGTACGTACCTTCAGCCACTAAGCCCCGAAAATCTGGAATTCTCTCCCTCAATCCCTCCGCCTTGCCCACTCCCTCCTCACCTTCAAATTGGGCATAAACACCTTCCTTTTTGATCGTGCTTACGGTAACCTCCCCGCTCGTTGTCAGACTCCGTCACTGAAGTGTTCCAGGTCGCTACCCCACATGAAGGGCGCTATATAAATCCAAATTGTTGTCATTACCATCGAGACTCAGAAGCAGATATTTTATATAATATTCCCTAAATACGGTTCCCTAAATCAAATGCTACAAAATGTCTGTTCTCAGGCTGTTTTTTTCCTGACGTTTTGAAACAAAACAGTATGTATATTTTTGGTCAGATTTTTTTTCTCTGAATGTTTTCGCATTTGCTTGAGGGACCACCCATGGTTTGCAATTATTTGTTCATTTAATTTCGCACTGTCACCAGAACGAATCCACTCTTCAGTAACACAAACTAGTTGTGTTTTGTTTCTTAAACATACGTGATGTTGGGGGAGCTGAGTTGTTGGACCCTCAATTTATCCCTGTGACCTGAGTTCAGGTTCAGCCTAAATTGCTGGGATGAAAAATTAGTCCCCTGCTGGTTTTGACAGACCTCGAATGAGTCAGAGGAATCTTAACCCAACTCTGAAATGAGTTTGTACCTGCAGCACAGAGTATGTGTACATTGCCACTAATGCCTAAACCATGCATTACTCTTTACTGATACAAATGAGTGTTACAGTCTGCGAGGAGATATGCTCGCTGGCTCCCGGTGACACTTCTAATTAAAGACAACATATTGCCTTTCACATCGGGAGGACATTTCAAGACACTGGCCAGCTCACTAAACAAAATAACTATTTTTTAGTCACTGATAGTGCCAAGTTAAAGCAACAGACTCTGAAGCTTTTTTCAAACTTTAATGAAAAACTTTGCATTCTGTACATTGCGAATGATACAGAATTTTTTTTGGTCAATTGAGTGTCTGACACATTAGAGGAGAAATAGTATGGGGAGATGGAGAGGAGGGAGCTGCCCAATGCCAACTATCAGGGGGCCTAATGTTAGTTGTAGGGAAAATTTGGAGACAATAATAAGGGACCAGTTAAGCGAGTATTTAGATAGAAATGGGTTAAAAATTAGGGAATAAACTAGATCTACGTTCTCCGATGGCCTGTGTGTATGGTTTTGTAGCTCAGCTGCTCACTGAGTAAACTTACAGAGCTTTCAACAGAGATTTTATTTCTGGAAAGCTGCTCATAATGTGAAAAACTGTAGAATGTATCAATTGTGAAATGAATTGATCCCATTTTCTTTAATTTGCTTTAGTAACGACACTTTAGAGCTTACACGACTGCCCTGGGAATGAAAGTAAACATGTTTAAAAAGAAAGATCAAAAGCACAAATAGCAACATCATTCAAATTATACAATAATCCTACGAGTTACAGGAAGCGAGGTAAATTATAGATGTTTACACTAAATTGTTGAATTTTATACAAACTAAACAGTTTTCCATAGCTCCCGTATTTCCTTTTACCTCCTGTATATGTCATTTTCTTTTAAATACTTGGATGCTTTTTCTTCAACTGCAGTTTCCGGCAGTGAGTTCCACATTCACACCACCTGGTGCATTTATATATTAAAAAAAGTTCTTATAATTTCCACTTGTTAGTGAGTCAGTAGTGAGTCAATAGGCAAAAACATAAGATAGCTACTGACTATCTTATGTTTATGCCCTCTGACTCACTAACAAGTGGAAACCATTCATCTTATCAAATCCATTCATAATATTAAACACAGGTATCAGCTATAAGAAACTGGCAGATTTAGTACCTAAATGAGAAATCTAAACAAAATGAGAAAATGCCATTGGGTCTAATCTTTCAAGTATTGGTAATATGCAGTGATGCTCAAAATAGTAACTGACGATTACAAAACACAGGGTTAATGATTGAAGTAGGTTTGTAAAAACTTAATTATTGCAAGGCTCACTTTGTGAGAGAATTCTTGCCGAAGCAAGCACATCATTGGGATAGTAAATAAATCTATAGTATGTAAAATCAACAGTATAAAGTCCAGAAGTTGTACAGGGAAGCGCGTTAGAACAGGATTGCTGTAATCCAGAAATTTCAATTTATGTTATTATCAAGGGTGGAAAACAGCCATTCCTGGCCAGCATTTTTGGACTTGTCTCATCATTGGGGAAAACTACACGTACACTAGCAAAGCTTGCTAACTGCTCTGAGGATGTAATGCTTGATCAGCAAAAGGAAGGGGATAGGCATGCATGCACAGGAGTCCATATTAAATGCTGGGCTCCATAATCTATCCAGTTTATAAGCAAGGCATTATTGTATTAAAGGTGTGTTATAACAGTGTTCTCTTATGTGAAGCATTGAAAAGACTACACATTGAATCCAATTTTGGTTGTACTTACAAAATATAATACATACGAACAGAAATATTTATATCCTAGACAGTGGTCATTGAGTTATGAAGAGAGCTATTGATTCTTTTGTTATATTAAGGGGTCTAGGAAACATAGACCACTTAACACTCAATCCTAGTTGTTAGAGTCCCAGCTCAGGGGGAATGATATTTAGAATGTTACTATGCACGTTGGTGTCTGTACAAGTGCAGTGAACCCTGCACTTGGGTTTGGAGAATTAGGACAGCCAGTGGAATTAAGGGAGGCTTAAGACTTGGGTGTAACTTCATAGTTTAGGTTGCTAATTATGATTTGAGTGTTGACTTAATTGAAGCATGCCTTAAAGTGAATAAATGGTTCTTGGCTTGGGAGATAATGGAGGGATATGGATTTGGTGCCAAGCCAGAGAGATGAAGATGGCAGGACTATGATGAGGAACTAAATGGCCTCTTAATCTTACCCATCTATATCTGTGCATTATTGAAGTAATATGCAATACAGTACTGTATTATTGTGTTAGCAAACTGATTATACTGTAAGTTCTATTACATTGTCCTATCCCTCCTTTATATTTTCTAAATTTGCTGACAGAAGTCCTGGAGGGGATGCTGGAGCTAGAAAGAAGAAGAAAAAGCAGAAAAGGAAGAAGGAGAAGCCGAACTCTGCTGGAACCAAATCAGATTCTGCTTCAGACTCACAGGAAATCAAAGCTCAGCAGCCACCTTCAAAAGTGAGGCCATTATGTCTCTTTTTAAATTATTTTAATATTTTCTGTATGCAAATCATGCACTAAACACTAAAACACTGAATTGTTAGATTTAATTTGGGAACTATAGTGTACTCACAACATTGAAGAGATGGGATCCACTTCCACATGTACGCGGGTGATACCCAACTCTAACTCTGCCTCCATCCGCGACTCCAGGACCACTGCTGTCCTGACAGAATATCTGTCAGACATCAAGTCCTGGATGAGAGTTAACTTTCTTCAATTGAACGTCAACAAAGTCGAGGCTCTCCTGATTGGCTCCCGTCAGCGCCTCCTCACCTCAGGCACTGACAGTATCACCATCCATGGTTGCACACTCCACCTTGCTAAGCCGGTCCGGGACCTTGGCATCTTGTTTCACCCTCAACTATTTTTTCTACCCCACATCCGTGCCATGACCCACTCTGCCTTTCCCCCACCTCCGCAACATCACCCGGCTCCGTCACTGCCTCACACCACAGGCTGCCGAAACCCTCATACACGCATTCACAACATCCAGGCTCGACTATGCACACTCCCTGCTTGTCGGCCTCCCCAACTCCTCCCTCCGCAGGCTGCAGATCATCCAGAACTCTGCAGCCCATGTCCTCTCCCACACCAGGCTCCATGACCCTATCACCCCCCATCCTCGCTCAACTCCACTGGCTTCCCATCACACAGACAAGACAGTTCAAGATCCTGGTCTTCACCTTCAAAACCCTCCATGGTCTTGCTCTCCCCTACTTCTACAACCTCCTAACCCCCTACAAACCTGCCCTCTCCCTCCTCTCAGTGGGCTCGGACCTGCTTCACGTCCTCTGCCTCGCCCTCTTGACCATTGGCGGGTGGATCTTCAGACACCCTGCCCCCACCCTCTCAAACTCTATCCTGCAGTCCCTTTGCCTCGCCCCCTCCCTTGCCTTCTTCAAGAACAGAAAGGTGATCAGGTGAGAGACTTGGGACTTACTGTGGATGAACTGTCAGCCCAGTGCATACACAGTGACATGGCAGTGACCTGTTGACCCAGAAGCTGGGGGAACTAGCTGGTGCATGGGAAGTAAATCTGCATGCACACAAAATGAATGAGGAAGCGCTGACCAGTGATCAAGGCACCTTTCTATAGTGCATTGGGATTTTATGGACCCAACTACCACACTATTACAAGGCTCAACTGTCCGGCTTCCATTTTCAGAGGGATAAGAGTCTCAATCAAAAAGTTACATTGCTGCTGTATAAAGTTTTGTTCTGACCCCATTTAAAATACGATAATTAGTTTTAGTCACTGAATCATAGGAAGGATATTTCTGCCTTTGATTGTGCATGGAGGCAACCAACCAAATGATCACAGATTTTAAGAATCTAATCAATAGGAAAATTTAAGAGAATCAGTTATCTTCTCTTTGAGAATAAAACTTTTTAGGATTATAAAAGGGAATTCACTAGGTTGATGCAGTCAAATTATTTAATGTGTTAAAAGTTTTAAACACCAGGGATTGAAAGTGAAACAATAATGAGTCAAAAGAGAAATCAAGCAGAACTTCTCCGCCAAGTGTAATATCCTGCTCTTTAGAATACGTTACTAGAGAATAATAATCCATGCATTTGGGATAGCGCCTTATCACGTTGGAAGGATGTCTCAAAGCACTTCGCAAGAACTACTGTGAAATTTGTAGGCAAACGCGACAGCATAATTGCACACAGCAATGTCCCGTAAATAGTTACGGAGTGAGTAACCAGTTTAATTTTGGGGATTGTTGACCAGAATACGAGGAGAAACTTCCTTCCCTTTTCAAATAGTGCTAATGGGGTCTTAACAGGCAGACAGGACCTCGGTTTAATTTCTCTTCTGAAGGACGGCACCTCCAACAATGCAACATATCCCTATTGGGCATTGAAGTGTCAGCTTAGACTATTTGAATTGAAGTCCTGACGTGGGGCTTGAACCCACATCCTTCTGAATCAGAGGCGAGATTGCTAACACTGAGCCAAACTGACACACGAGCTCATTGAAGTGTAATAATGTTCTTCTACAATATGTTACTAGAAAAGCTCAATGAAACAAATAGTATAATTTGTTTTTGGCCAATCGGGTGTCTGACACATGCAGAAACCACCTTTCTAAAATTTGTCATGCTTTAGCATGACTAGACAGAGTTTCACATATGTATGCCATAAATGCGTGGAAATTTCCGAATATAAATAGATTCAAGAGGTTGGCTGGAGTGTATCTGGAAAGAAATGATCGGGAGATAATGGGATCTAATGTACAATATTCTCAAATTGGATTTGTTGCATTAATTCCAGTTAACAGGTCCAGTTTGTGGCAAAAAGTCACGCCCACAAAACATGAGGAAAAGAAACATTGGTTTCTCAGCAGCCTTTTACTGGACTTTGCTAACAGGAGGGTTCTGCCAACTGCAATACCAGAAATAGCAATTAACATGACCAATCCGGTTTGCAAAATGCTACAAATCAGACTCCATTATGAGAATGTATTTAGCTTCCAATACCATCCAGTTTACATTTATATGTAAGCTTTCACCTCGGGAGGATGTCTCAAAATGCTTAGGTTAAGAAATGTCAAAAATAGGGATAGTCTTAATGCCCTTTATCTGTGCTAGAAATATCCCTTTCACTGTTCTATAGAGGCTACTATGGCAATGCTTGAACCCATCATTCTGGAGAGCAAGTCGAAGGAGCATGTCATATAGTTATTTTAGAAACTTTTAAAATATTTATATTGGAGAGCTTTTCCATAAAGCACTACCCAAATCATCATCAGCTAAATAGTGGAGTAAGCACATTAGCCCAAGGGATCCCACTGCAACTTCATTGCTTACTTTAGAAGAACCATAAGAAAAATGTTCCTTACCCATCCCTCCGACCTATGCTGGTGTCTGAATTATGTAGAACTAGTTGCCAGGTTATGTGGTGACTGAACTCTTTCTGAGATGCTCGGAAATCTCTCAAGTTCTTTTAATTTTTTTTCTTTCAGCAAGATAAGTATTAAGACAGAAAACTTGCTCTGGGTTTCCTTTTTAAATTTAATTTACATTGGGTTGAGACTGGCCATGATCATTTCCCATGGAAACCTTCCGGCAACAACAACAACTTTGCGCAGGGTAGCGTCCTGGAGTGCTTGCAGCCAGCAGAGGGGTTTCTATCCTATCTCTCTGTGCTGGCTTCCAACTCGAGTCACATAGGTATAAGGACTGAACTACCCTGTTGTATTATCCTAGTCATTGTTGATGGGTCATTGGAAGACGAGCCTCGCTCATTGGTTTGCGAGCACAGTCTGGGATTTTTTTTTTAACTTTTCCTGGATTAAGTTGCTCTAGTTAGGTATCAAATGGGACATTCAGCCTAACAGTTACTGGAGGCTGTAATTCTTCCCACTCAGTTAACTCTGCAAACTAACACCCTATAAGTAGAATGGTCGACATTGGGGAAGCAGAGGGAGGATTTCAGTGGTACGCTGTACTCGTCTGGCTGGTTAACGCTATTGCACACTTTGGCATCTCTTAAGATTGGACTCTTGCCTATCTGTGTGCCTAAATTTCCCAGAATTAGGTACTCGGGGTGTCTCTCTCTCAGAGAGATTGGGCATTCCGTACCAGACAGATGGAAACCATGTATGTGGGTGGAACTCTTAGTAGTTTGATTAGGAGAATCCTAAGCTGGGTACCATGTAAGTTAAACATCCAGCTGACCATTTAAAAACATTCAAGCCTATATTATCAAATCAAGTTAAACATTTAAATCCATTTCTCTGCCTTTTCTCCACGCTTCATGCCCTTAATTGTTGTGCATTTATTTCTCTTTTAATCATTCCAATTAGTTCTGCACCTACAGCCTTTTTGGACAGTGCTTTTCACATTCTCACAACCCTGATATGTTTGTTTCATTTTGTTAGTACAGCAAATACACAAAGTGCAGCATAAGTAGAAATGCTTTCTGTCATCGAGTGGAGAGCATTCACTTTTGAGCTAGTTTCATCTACATCAGCATGGTCCAACCTTTTGGCTACTGAGGGCCGGATCCCCTTTTTGAGAAATGTCCGTGGGCCACATAAGCAATATATTTGTGTTTTCCTCCCAGAAACAATACAACATTTACAACAGTTATGGAGGGAGTGGTTTGGCTATATGAAATGGAGTGTGGGGTGCAGATGAAATTGTCTGTTGGACCACCCTGATTTACGTTATTAAAATAAAAATGTTTTGAGGATAAGAACTGGATGTTAGAGAACTGTTCTTGTCCAGTTTGGGCGCCTCACTATAGGAAGGATATCAAGATCATAGAGATGGTGGAAAAGAGATTCACTAGTAATGTTCCAGGGTTGAGGGATTTTACAGTTGAGTAAAGATTGGAGCTGTGTTCCCTAAAACAAAGATTGAAGAAAGATCTTCTGGATTTTTTTTAATTTCTGAGGCATCTTAATAATGCAAATGGGAATAAATTATTTCCACTGAGCGGTAAGTCAGTAATGAGAGGGCATAGAATTACCAGAGGGAGAGGTTATAGCATGTATTTACAAAAGACAGTTGTTATATTGTAACCACAACTGTCTATTTGTGGTTGAGGCAGAATCCATATTAGCTTTCAAGATGGAATTAGATAAAAATCTCAAAAGGAGAAATGTTAAAAGCAGGAGAATGGGTAGATCCCTGTAGCTCAGTGGTTAGAGCACTCGCTTTGCAAATGAGAGACCTGAGTTCAATTCCAGGCAGAGGGCGAAACCTTGGGCAAGTTTCCTTACTCCACACAGAGCCTAATAATAATCCCTCCAAAACAAAACAATAATAAATTGGTCATTTTCAATCTACGACTGTTTGTGGGACATTGCTGTGCGCAATTGGCTGCCGCGTTCGCCCACAAATATACAGTCAATTCACTTTACAGTGTGTTCTGTGAAGCGCTTTGGGACGTCCTCCCGACATGAAAAGCGCTATATCAAATGCAAGGATTATTATTATTATTATTATTAGATCTTTCAGAGAGCCAGCAGAGGCACAGTGCAAACAATGTCTTCCTTTCCACGGTTTTGTTGAGCAGATATAGTCCTTGCCTCCAGTCGTCATATCCAGGATGCTTTGAAAGATCCACAGACTACTTGTGATCTTACTCTTCTTTAAGTCCATAGTAATTCTATTGTGAAAACAAGCACAGAAAAAGTGAGTGACCTATGACTCTATGGAGTAAGGAGCATAGATATATAGATAGGAGTGGCTTCAGGCTGATTTTGAATTGCAAAGATATGCTGATTGTTTGCATAGATTATGGAGAATTGGCATCTATGCAACACTTCTCTGTTTGGCACACAAGATTAAAATCCCCGGAAGTCCTGAATCAGTGGTTCAACGTCAGTTAAGAGAGATTGTGTTTCAGATTCTTTGTGTATTCTGTATAGAAAGTGGAGCCTGCTGAATCAGGCATGATTGTCTAGTGTTTAGCTAGTGTGCAGCATGGTGGATTTGAGTGGATTTGACAGAAAGCCAAGTGGTCTTAGCTGTGCTATTTAAATAATAAGCATTTAATTTGCCTCCACAAAACCCTCTAGCAGCACTCTACCAAAAATTGTAACATAAAGGAAGTAAATGTTTGTGCTGGGCTAGATATGCGGTTGAGCCAGATTTGGTGCCTGTTAAGTGTTTTTTTTTACACAGATGGTATATTTTTTAACCTGATAATATCATTTCTCTGCAGAACCCCTCTGTTCCAATGCAGAAACTTCAGGACATTCAGAGAGCCATGGAGCTGCTCACAGCATGCCAGGGCCCTGCCAAGAACCTAGAGGAGGCGAGTCAACACAGATATCACTTCTGGGACACCCAACCGGTACCCAAACTTAGTACGTTTAGCACATATTCTGACTGGTCACTGTAGATATAGGAGTATTACGTTCTTGAGAAGCGTATAGATTCATCTCAACAAGTCCTTTGAAAGAGTGAGTTTCCTTTAACTGCACAAAACATCACCTAATTTATAGTCCCTTTTTACGTAAAATAAGCCTTTCAGAGAGCTTGACACAATAAAGCCACTAGACCACAAGGTCAATGGATGATGCAATTTTAAAAAAAGTAAGGCGCAGTCACAGATTCAGTCCAACCCGAAGTTCATTAAGAGAAATCTATAATCAAAGGTGTTGTGGTATTACAGGGATTATTCAGGTTTCCTGAAGTCATGGTGGAAATCTTTAAAAAAAATTATCCACATCTTGGGTGCAGACACAAGCCCCTCATGAAGACCCGAGCACATCTCGCCTGTGCCAGCACAAATGGTTAGTGGTGCTAGATATCCCCATTATAACTGGATAGTAATTCCAAGATGCGTCATGAATTTGCTTTTGGTCCATAGATTTCTGTGTAATAATAATAATCCTTGCATTTGATGCATTTAGTGACTCGGAAACATTGTTAGAAGGCAGCACCAAGAACAGCGAAAGGAGAATTTAGGAGGATTCTTTTTCATTCAGAGAGTTGTTGGGATGTGAGCGCCCTGATGAGCAGGGTGGTGGAGGCTGATTCGATTGTGGCTGTAGATTTCTATGATATAATAATGTATTTCATGTTGGCAGGAATCTCAAAGCGTTTTCCAGGATTTATTATAACGTGACCGTATTTTGTAGGTGTTCGCCGCAGCCAATTTGTGCATAGCAATGTCCAACAAAGAGCCATGAAGTAAATAAACAATTTTATTTGGGAATTTGTTGGCCAGGACACTGGGAGAAACTCCCTTCTCTTTTCAAATAGTACCATGGGATCTTTAACATCCACCTGAACAGGCAGACAGGATTTCGATTTAACATCTCACCCAAAGGACAGTGCCGCCCTCCAACAATACAACGCACCCACAGCACTGTGTTGGAGTATATGCCTGGACTATGGTATCATAGTCTCTACACATGGCTTCAATTCACAACTTCTAAGTCAGAACAAGAATTCAACAACAGAGCCAGGTTGACATTCTGAGAAGGCTCATATCAATGCTTTGTTCCATACATTTACAAATTCAATCTGGAGCTCAATTGATGGTTCAGTTGGCAAAACTAGTTCTCTCTCAGTTGTTTAGATCCTGGTCTGTACTGAGGTGGCTGATCTGTAGTGATAGAAGAGTCTTAAGAGCCTGAAAATGGCTGATAGATATGAAACTCAGATGGCATTGTCCAACTCTAAAATTCACAATGCTTTGTGAATCCAGCACAATGGACATCAGACATCAGACATACAGTGAAATTCTGTTAATTAAATAATCAATTTGACAGCAAAAATTATTCAATAAACTATTCATATAAATGGACTAAACATAATAGGAGACTTATCTTCTGGAGCTCTAAATTCTATTCAATAAACCAAACCATTCAATTATCCGATATTCAATTAACCAAATTTCGCTGTTGTCTTTATTTCAATACATGTGCAGTTTAAATTGTTTTAATGGGTACATTCTGGTGGGACGCTCTCCCGACCTTGAAAGGCGCTACACAAATATAATTTTTGTTGTTGAAACTGAACAATCTTATTCATTAACTCCTTCCCATTGTACTGGATCCAACTGGACAAATTTATGTTCCTGAGTTACCAGAAAATGTTTCCATTTCCTTAACTCCATTGACTGGAACCTACAGTATAATTCATTGGTATAGATATCTAAATTAAATATTTGATGCACTGTATGAAATGTATTTTACAAACCATTTCCTTTTTGTCCTTGCAGATGAAGTTGTGACAACTCATGGTTCCATTGAACAGGATAAAGAAAATATCCGCCAGGAACCATATTCTTTACCTCAGGGCTTCACTTGGGACACTCTGGATTTGGGCAGTTCTGAAGAGGTTTGTGACTCAGATTATTGTGAACTAGAAACACGTCACATTTAAGGAAATATTCTCAAGGCAATTAATTATTTATTCGCTCGTGCCTTTTATTCTTGTGTATTTTTAACTATGACTCGCTTATTTGTACTTTCTCAAAATTATTTTGTCATTCAACTGTTTATCCTTTTCCAGCTGAAGGCAAAACAGTGTGGGTCATTGGCTTTGCCACAGTTCTTATCAATGGCAGATTCCTTTTTGGTAGGCATGAGGTGTGAGACTGGATGTCCCAGGGTACTAGGTTTACTAGGAGGTGTGAGACCTGTTTTTGAATCCAGCCTGGAATGAAGAGACTGGTGTGGTTCTAACAAAATGAATGGGGCTAATTGCAACCTTGTTCTCAATGGATGTGAGCCTCCACTCCACCATCGATGGAAGCCACAATGCTCCGAAACTGAAACTCTCGCTTAATCCCTCCGCCTTGTCCCTCCCTCCCCACCTTCAAATCCCGCCTAAAGACCTTCCGTTTTGATCATGCTTACGGTCACCTCCCCCTCCCTCTTCCCCGGCTCGTTTTCAGACTTCACCACTGTGAAGCGCCCCGGGATCGCTACCCTGCGTGAAGGGCACTATATAAATGCAAGTTGTTGTTGAGCCTACTCAACAAAGATACTAAATTGGACAGGCCGTAGAATAGTCCATGTGAAACATCACATTTGTGCAGAAAAGAGTGCGCGTCTGTCACTGAGTACAGAAAAGCACTCTGCACCGACCTGGGAGTACTTGACATGCTTCGTGTAAAAGGTATAATTTACTGGTTCCCTAGGATTGATATATCTTGCCTACAAGAGCACAAATTTACCCAAATTTGCATAAAATAAAGTACTTCATTCCAGCATCTACTTCAAGCTCAACTCATGATAAGATCCCTCCATGATTAAAACTGCTTTGCTGCCCCCTTTCCTCACCTATATCAACTTTATAATAATGAGGTTTAATTGTTCACATCTATTTGACTGTGTGTTTATTTGTACGTTTGAGCTAAATAATTCTGAATGTGCACCCAATCTGTAGATTAGTTTTGTTCTTATTCCTTTCTAATTTTTTTTCTAACAATGCTCTTCCCGCCTCTGAGGATTTTGGCTGCTTTTTCCTTCTAACATGTACCTCTGTTGATAGGTATTAGTCGTGGGTGAACTTTGAGAGTGTCAGCAGCCTAGTCAACTTGGCAACTGACATTAATGTTATCCTTCACGACGCCCCCTTACCGCCCTATCTCCTCCTGAGTAAGAGCAAGATCCCTGACTGATTTCCCTTGCCTAAATTGCAATGCTGTGCCAAATTTTAGTAACTAACTGGTGCCTGACTAATATTAGTTAATTCAACATATCAATCAATGTGAACCTGAGACCTTCCTACTTTGTGTGGGACAACCACTCACTGACTATATTCACTAGTCATCTACCCATCAGATTAGCCATGGATTGTGCTAACCTTACTTTTTGACCACCTTTGTTGTATAAATGCATATTTCTATATATTTGACAGATTTTTAAATGAAATATTGAGTTTGGTGATTTGTATTCTGCACAGACCATCTATATCCTGTATTCTGTTTTTAAACTAAACTTCTTAAATTTTTGCTTGCTTTCAGCTAAAAGAACTATACACATTGCTAAATGAGAATTATGTGGAAGATGATGAGAATATGTTTAGGTTTGATTATTCTCCTCACTTCTTACAGTGGTGAGCACACAATTCTACTTCAGTTTATTTTTTTCTTATTACAATCTTTGTTATCATTTGTGTTTTATTAAAAATGTGATCAGAATTGTTGATTGATGCATATGCTTACAGGGCTCTTCGTCCACCAGGCTGGTTATCACAGTGGCACTGTGGAGTCCGAGTATCTTCAAACAGAAAACTAGTTGGCTTCATTAGTGCCATTCCCGCCAATATCCGTATTTATGAGATGTAGGTACACTGTCTGCTATATTTGTTTCAAATTTGCTTGTGTTAAGTTGCATGTTTGCTTCAGTAGCATGTTGTATATACTGAGAAGCTCTTCTTATTACTGAACTAAAAGTTGAATTCTGTAAAGTTACCTTTAGTTTATAAGTCCTCTTTATTTCAATAGTTTCTAACAAACCCATGATATACAGTTCACAATACAATATGTGTCTTCACCCTATGCCAACATGCTACCAGTTTTGTGTTGTTCAACTGTTGCTGGAATTGTTGCCCTCACTTCCTCCCCCTTGTACCATTACTCATATTTCTAAACCAGATGGGAGTTCAGTTTTTCCAAATATTGTAAATGTGCTCGAGTTGGTAGTCAGAACCCACTTACCCTATCTGATCCCTTCTCTATAGAAGAGCTCTCTGCCTGGACAGTGAACTGACTGGCTGTTCTCATTTGGAAGTGGTCCCTCAGCCTTGTAATATTTCTTTGTTCTTCACATTCACTCTAAACCAGACAAAACAAGCCTAATAAATACTCTCCTCAGCCCAGCAACTAACCCTGTATTTCCTCTATCCCCCCTCACTCTCCCCGAGAACTGGCCCTGCTCGTCCTGGGGCCAGGAACAGGACTGAAATGCAAATTCTGCACCATCCCTAAATCTCATTCCTTCCTCCTGCAGCCCCGCAGATCAGTCGTCTTATCTGAGCATCTGATGCACAAAGCACAAAGCAACATTTGTTGTGGTGATAAGAGTCTTGAGCTTGGATTTGTGCTACGGTTGGTATGGTAACAGTAGCACCACGGCTGCCACCAGAGCCAAGATTCTTATTGATGCAAGAAATGCTAGTGTGGAGCATATGTTGATTGTAAATCCAGAAAATGAAATTATTTTGATGACGTGTTGACCACACTATGCACCCCACTTTAGTTTAGCAGAAGCAATACACATTTCTTAGAGAATTGTAGAACGATACAGAACTGAAATGGACCATTCAGCCCAATAAACCTGAACAGGTGATTTTCTTCAGATAAACCGTCTAGTCTATTCCACTCCTACTCTCCCCTCATCTATTCTTATATTAAATATTATTTTTCAAGCACGGATCAAATTCCCTTTTGAAAGAATTGATGGACTCTACTCGAAGAACAATTTCTGGCATTCCAACCACTTGTATAAAGAAATGTTTTCTAACCTCCTGTTTAATTTCTTCTGTGATCATCTTAAAGTTATACTTTCTCATGCTTAATCCACTGAGCAATAGAAAGAATCTATTACTATTTACCCTATTATAACCCTGTTGTTGATACTCTGCTGTTTTGTGTGCTGACTTGCACTGTATAAACAAGCTGACTTCAGTTGAGTTTGCTGCTGTCTCATGTAATAACTTGGGAGAAGGTTGCCGGTTTTCAATTTTAAAAAAATTCAACAAGTAGATTTTTTAAAAATGTTTTTGCGATCTTTTCGATCACAGAAATGGCCAACTTCTGCATTGTAAGATCAGTGCAGACATTACTTTATGTTGCACACATGTACTGAGCACAGGAAGTGACGTTAGCAGTGCTGCCTGCACATAGCAGCGTGTAAAATTGGTCATTCACTTCATGGCTATTTGTGGGACATTGCTGTACACAACTTGATTGTCGTGTTCGTCCACAAAACAACCACTACGCTTTCCAGTATATCTTGTAAAATGCGTTGGGATGTCGTCGTGATGTGTAAGGCGCCATACCAAATTTAAGTACGTATTATTGTATGTAGGAAGTGAACCCCTTGGTGACCGGAAGTCAAACATTTTGTACTAAGCAAAATGACGTTTAACAATGGGATCTCATTTCCCCATTTGGGGAAAATTTGAAAACCCTGAAGAATACAGATTTGAAATTGGAAACTGGCAAGCCTACTTATAATACGAGCGTGGGTTTCTTTTACAGAATACTGTAAATTAAATACTTTTCTTTATTTATATTAGACAATTCAATTTTGCATCATGCCTGTGCAAAGATGCAAAATTATATTGTTTGTGTTTTTAAAAAATTCTAAACATAGGAAACATTACTTGATGTTCCACAGTAACCATTAGTTAAACAAATGTTGGATTATGTTGACAAACAAATGAGATTTCAGTAGTCCTCCTCACAATGCCATTTTTAATATTTTCCAATTGTTTCTATCAGTGAAAAGAAGATGGTGGAGATCAATTTTCTGTGTGTCCACAAGAAACTGCGATCCAAACGTGTTGCACCAGTTTTGATTCGTGAGATTACCCGAAGAGTAAATTTACAAGGGATCTTTCAGGCAGTGTACACAGCAGGAGTAATTCTGCCAAAGCCTGTAGCCACATGCAGGTAGTGTATCTTTTTCTTCTAAATTGAAGTCGCCCACAAAATACATAGTCACTCCACTCACTATTTTACTTTTTCAATGATTAATTATTCTGTTTTCCCACTCTTTGTCTTAAATACCCACAATATTCTCCAGCTCAGAAGACAAATAGGCATAATGTCCCAACCCCTAGTTCTCATGACTACAAATACACAGTCACTATAATCAAGTCACTTTACAGTAAAATCCTGTGAAGCATTTTGAGACACTTCGAGTGCATGATAAGGCGCTGTCTTCAAATGCAAGGGTTATTATTATTATTGTTTTACTCACTCAGTCATTAAAAAGTGTGCAAGACTGGCTAGGGATGATTTGCTTTACAATTTAGGAGAAGTGCCTGGATCCTACTTGACTCCTCTCTGATGAGACAGCTAAGCGCAGTTTTGAATGTGTGGTTGCTAACAAATATCTTGTTCTGACACGGTGTCAATGCTCTGAGCTCCACTTATTTGATTTGTTAGGTTTGCAAGATTTTGTGTCGTGCACTTCTGATGTTAGGATATCACTGGTGCATTTGATTTATGTTAGATGCTGTTGCTGTATTCCAAGGTATTGGCATCGATCGCTAAACCCCAGGAAGCTAGTGGAAGTGAAGTTCTCTCATCTCAGCAGAAATATGACTTTACAGAGAACCATGAAGCTCTACAGGTTACCAGACGTAAGCAGCTCAAAATACCCACCATTTCTGTGCATCCTAATATACCGAGACAGACAACCCTTGGAGTCCTGTAGCTCAGTGGTTAGAGCATTTGCCTGGCAAGCGAGGGACCTGGATTCGATTCCTGGCAGGGCAAAACCTTGGGCAAGTTTCCTTACTCCACACGCCCGATAATAATCCTTCAAGAAAAAAAACAATAATAAATTGGTCACTTGAATCCACGACTGTTTGTGGGACGCCCCTGTGTGCAATTGGCTGCCACGTTTTGCCCACAAATATCCAGTCAAGTCACTTGATAGCATATTCTGTGAAGTGCTTTGAGGTGTCTAAAAGACGTGAAAAGCGCGATATCAAATGCAAGGATTTTTTTTATTATTATAACCCTTTTCTGCTTGGGTTCTTGTGGCCTCTTTTAAGTAATAGTCATTTTGGTGACAAATGTATTTTTTCTCATGTTCAAAAATGTACAAGATTATTTTTTTCTTATACTGAACACGGACAGGTTCTATATTTTGTTTTATTATGCCCCGAAACTATGGAACTCTCTTCCTCAAACCCTCCTGCTTGCCTCCTCCTTCCCCATCTTCAGATCACACCTGAAGACCTTCCTCTTTGACCGCGCCTACGGTCACCTCCCCCATCTTCCCAGCTCGGCATCAAGCTCCGCTGCTGTTCAGCACTCCGCATGAATGGCACTATATCAATGCAAGTTGTTATTGTAAGAGAAAAAATCTTAGTCTAACAGGTCCTTTATGGTTTATAAAATGCTAGAAATGCATTTTTTGGCCTTCAGTACAGCATTCTTTACCACATAAATACCTATTATTAAATATAACTGTTCTGTGGTAAATGAGCAAAATGCTGTTGTGGTAATTCCTGTCTTAATTCCAAGCCATGGGCTCAGAGTAACATAAGAGTATGAAGTGAAGCTAAAGCGTAGCTTGGTTAGCAATGACCTTAATGAACTATAATATTTCTCTTTTGCTAGACCCCCAAAACAGCAGGTTTGAGGCCAATGGAGCAAAAGGATATAACACGGGTACAAGAGCTACTTCTAAATTATCTCAAGCAGTTTGAGCTTGCACCAGTGATGAGTGAGGAAGAGGTTACCCACTGGTTCCTGCCACAGGAGAACATTATTGACACTTATGTGGTAGAGGTAATCCAATGCTGTTGTGTGTGTGTCTGTATATTTAATACTACAAAGTATGTCCTCTCCTTCCCTCACATCGCCAATGTTATACATTCTGTTTGATATTTTCTGTCTTGATTTACATGTGAAAAATAACTAACTGCACAGTAGGCCAAAGGGTCAGTGTCGCTCATGGAACTGTGCCCACAATGTAAATTATTGCCTTTCGGATAGGAAGGGAGAAAACAAAAGTGGCAGAGAAATATACACTTATTTTTTAAAAAATGAAAATATATAAAAAAATGTGAGTATGAGTTCGCTTATAACAGTGGTGTCTAGTGGTCGTGTGTTAACCAGAGTCGTGGGACATCTAGTTTCTGGTGCTGAAAAGTGTTTGATGTTGTCAGATCACTGCTGGCGTGCTTTCCTGTGTGTTGCACACTTTGCACACGAAGCTTCACTGAGCACATATGCAGGAAGAGGCGTGAACATCAATTCGTATGTGCTACACAGGAAGCACTGCTGACATCACTTCGCGAAGGAAGGAAGCACACGCAGCAGTTTGCAGCTCGCAGGAAATGATATTAGTGATGCTTGGTGCATGCGTGCAGAACACACAGGAAGCGACGTCAATGAAGACCTGGCAGCCCAGAAGTTAGCTATTTTGGTTTCACACCTAATTTACAACACAGTTGCTGAGATATTGGGCCCAGACAACTACACTATATCAGTGTTACCCTGAATTAATAGTTTCAGATAGGAATGGGATATTGGTATATCTAGATTATCCATTGAATTTCCCAAAAGATTTCTTGAATACATCTATCTCATCATCTAATAACTCTGGGAGGAAAAAACAGTTTTATGTTTCACACTCTTGGGGGCAGTATTTTGGATATTAACTGAGAAAGTACTTTAATATAATCTGAATCTGGTTTGTTTCTTTCAAAAACATTGACACTTTATATTTATGTGCAAAAGGACATATACTGGAAATCTGGCCCCACTCTCACCAAAGGCATAGTAGGTTGTGAATGTTGTCAGAACAACAGGGGTAAATACTTTCAAGTAAGCTTTAGCAACACATTTGAAAAGCAAATACTTCACTTCATAGAGAACACAGGGTACATTTGTTTGCATGTTGGCTCCCGTACACTATCTTAATGCTGTGCCAGTAATATTGAAATGGACTGAATTGTGAATTGTATATAGGTCCATTAAGGAATCCAGCAGCATCTCTGCACCAAAATGGGGAATATTATAATTGTTCAAAAATGTAATGAATATGATGCACTTGTATAATATGGGTAGTGCAGAAAATAATTTGTTTGTAGTAATATAGTTTTTTTAAAAAAATGCCTGCCTTGAAAAGTGCAAACAACGTTTGTCTAGTGGCAAAACCCAGAAGAATGACTTAGTAAATTTAAGCCTGTTTTCATCAATTCACAGTATTTGAGTTTTATTCATCTTTTAGTTCTATCTGTATCATGCAGTGGAATGCTAATCGTTTCACAATATGGTAACTTTCACTGAATTATCGCCAATGTTTAGGACAATCTCTTTATACAGAATTAGTCAAAATGGTAAATCAAAGCAGTTGATATTCTCTGTGTATAGATGGTGCAAGAGTGAGGTTAGACTGTTGGATATTTATACATATGAATTGTTAGAATGTATAAATGTAATTTAAAATTCTGCAGGTAGCTTTGATCTGTATTACCTATCTCTAGGCAACTGTGGGGTACTGTTCTGTGAGCTTGTTTTTCCCATACTCCTGTCGGCGTGAGGTTAGACTCTGAGGTCCATGGATTGCTGTGAAGTTAATGTAGACCTGTGATTTATGCAAGATTCTGTGCTGCACAATAGGATAACTAGTGCATCAGTATCGCTTAGCAGTAATAACAATTGGAAGGATTATATTTTTAAAGGAGGTTATAGAAGAGTGCAAAATGCTTTATCTTCTCTCACCAACATAACAGATCTCCAACATAGGCAAGTCAGGTAGAATCTAATACTTTTGAGTGCCTATGAGTAATAATAATCCTTGCGTTTGGTATAGCGCCTTATCACGGTGGAAGGACATCTCAAAGCGCTTTGCAGGATTTACCTTGAAATGGAGTGACTGGGTATTTTGTAGGCGAATGCGGCAGCCGGTTTGCGCTCCAACAATGCAACAGCTCCCCAGCATCTGCTTGAACTAGGTGGGTTCAAATCCCGATGTGGAGCTTGGACCCACAACCTTTTAACTCAGGTGGACGTGTTTGCCACTGTTCCAAACTCAACTCTGGGAAATAGCCTGTGGGATTATTTTTGATAGTGAATACTATTAATATTATGAGAAGAAAGGAAGAATTTGCATTAATCACATTAGCCTCAAAGTGGTTTTATAGTAATTACTATTTGCTGTAGTGACTCATTTTGTTGGCAAATATAGCAGCTATTTTGCACACAATAAAATCTTATAAACCGCAATAATATGAATGACCAATTAATCTGGAGAATTGGAAGAAAGTCTCTGCTCTTTGTGAACAATGTCATGGAATCTTAAACATCCACCTGAGGAATAGACACATGGGACATCTGTTTTAATTATTTCTATATTAGCCAGAAGCAATGTGTTTGGTACCTGAAATTATGGCATATTAAAATTGTTATGGGGTACTATGCTGTGTTAATCATAAAATATGACTTTAATCCAAAATGTTTGAAATTAAGATTCTTGATTAAGATCAAGCACATATTTCAAAGATCATTAGTTATGATCTACAAATACTCCAAGGGATATGATGGTTTCTGTGCAGCATTTAGGTGGGGGGGCCAGGGATTAAGAAGAGACTGTTGTCAGTGGAGCGAAGCCAGCCCTGGTGTAATAGAAGATAAATATTTGGAGCATTAGCTTGGTTATCTTTGAGGGTCAGGGAGCATCGACAGAGCTTTCCCTGAGGAGATAAAATGGACGGCTTAAATCCATGTTAGGTAGTCTGTGATATACATGGTCCTTGGAAGGAGTTTACTTCATGGGCTAAACTGGCCTTTTCTTTTTCATGTTTTCTCCCATTCTGATATCTGTAAATTTTGCTTCCACGTTAAATGCCAATGACTTTTTTATGAAGTGGCTGTGTGAAGTTACTGATTCAGCAATCTTGTCTTACTGTATCATTTCCACCCAGTGACTATGCTGTACCATGCCTCTCAATGTCACCAGTCCTCTCTGCTAATAAGACCTTTAGTGGTTTATTTTTGACTGGATTCTAAAAGCACTGATGGCTATTTTATTTTCTACCGAATATCTATGGAACTATCCTAATGTTTTCATAGCTACAATTTTATCTTCAGATTTGTTTTTTGTAAAAGATAAAACCTATAAACCGCAAACCAATGTTTAAAATGAGTTTTAACGTTTCCCTAGGTTGGACTCTCCTTTGAGTTAAACAATTGGTCTTTTTTTGCAGGGTCCTGATGGTGTGGTGACGGATTTTGTGAGCTTTTACACTCTACCTTCCACAGTTGTGCATCATCCTGTTCATAAGAATCTTAAGGCTGCCTATTCCTTCTATAACGTTCACACTGAGACCCCACTCCTCGACCTTATGAATGATGCACTAATAATTGCAAAATCGGTAAAACTTGTTTCTTAACTTTTCATTGTTTAATCTTTGGAAATATATCAAGGAAATAAAATTAGTCCTAATATAGTTTAATCAGTTTGCTCCAATAGTGTGACAAAAAGGTTCCAAGGACAACAAATTATCTGCGATACCGTTTTGCAAACATAGGTTCTGTAGTACTGAGCAGCTTTGTGGTTGATTGCTGTAGCGTTAATCGATACACTATTTGTTTGTAGAATGAAAAACATCTTAGATGCATATGGCTCTGAGACTAGTCTCAAACATGTTCAAACTGGGCACTGACCAAAGTGGTCCGAATTTGTCCGTTTCAGATATATTTCAGAAGGTACAAATTTGGACCCAAATCTGACTACCTGTGATTGGCTATGCATTTACCAAATAATAGCAATTCCTGTTATTTACCGCCACTAAGATGGAGTCTTCTGATTTTATTTTTAAATATTTGATCACTGCTAGTTGAGTGTTTTAATACCAGCTACTGCGTGGCAATCAAGTAAAACTCGGGAAGTCTCACAGATTCAAACCTCTGAGGAGATGAGAGGGCACCCAGTAGGATGTAAAACTATCTTCTATCAAACAGTTGGAAGATGCAACTGTGAAACAGTTTCAACCACACCCAGCTGGAGAGGATTAGGCACCATCCGCAGTTGAAGGCGACCTGATATCTTCAAAATAATGAAAGGTTATGATAGGATAAATCCTAATAAATTACTTACACTAGTTGGCGAGTCAGTAACAAGGGAGCTTAAATTTAAAATAATCACAATAATTAATAAATAAGTTAGAAATATCCCTGTACATAGGGTTGCTGGAATTTCAGTTCTCTGCCACAAACTGTTGTTGAGGTGAATTCTTTCAAAAGACCAGATGAATGCATGAAAAAGTGTATTCACAGTGGGAAGAGATTAGGTGGGTCATGCAGAGAAAAATACCAGTGTAAACTTGATGGGCCAAATAGCCTGTTTCTGTGCAGTATCTGTCTATGGTTCTGTTTTTTGGTGTTTATACATCTACGTACACAGGCAATTGGACAAAAATGCAATTATGCTTTCTTTAAAGGGGGTGGGAATTTAGATGAGCACATTATGTTCAAAGCACTCATCAAGATGTGGTAGAAAGAAGTACCGATAAAGGAGGCAATAAATAACTTGAAATCAGACTCTGTCAATAAACGTGCCTCTCTGAATAAATCTTCACAATATAATGTTGAGTGAAGCCACGGTATGTTTACGTTTCCTTCGTGGAAGTCATAGTACCACAGAACAAATGTATCTAATTATATACTTGGAAGCTGGAAAATTCCATTGACACTTACTCCTCCGGGGTGAGAGATTTTCCAGCTTGAACTGGAAAACAAAACGACTCGCAGAATTGTCTTCCTGTTTATTCTCCAGTTCTCTAGTCCAGTATTTGATATTCCGGTTACTTCCTGCAACTTCATAGTTTCTTATTTACAGCATTTAACATACCCTCTTATTCTGATTCAAAATGGTCATCTTATTTAGTCATTTTCAGGGATTTGATTCCTTGTAGTAAAATTGAACTTGCTTGTCCTTGAGATACGACTCACTTGAACTTGTGACAAGTGAGTGGTTTTAAGGTGAGTTAAAACAAAAAGTTATTCAGCAAGCAAGGAATCATTTAAATTTATTTTCCAACATTGATGCCAACTTGTGATTTCCATCATTCAATTGTGCTTCTTACTCCTTTTACAGAAAGGATTTGACGTATTGAATGCACTCGACCTAATGGAAAATAAAACATTCCTAGAAAAGCTGAAGTTTGGTATGGGTGATGGCAATTTACAGTACTATTTGTACAATTGGAGGTGCCCAGATATGGAACCTGAAAAGGTGAGGAATGTTAACTTCCACATCACAAATACAGTATCACAACAATAGCATTTATATAGAGCCCTTTACGTAAATGGGGTCTTGGATTGCTTATCAACGACGTAGAGCTTGATGCCGAGCCGGGGAGTGTGGGGTGGTGACCATAGCCACCGTCAAATTGTAAGGTTTTCAGATGCAATCAGATGCATTCTGAAGACGGGCAAGGTGGCAGCAAGGCAGAGGGATTGAGGCAGAGAGTTTCAGGGCGTAGTGGCTGAAAGCACAGCTGCAATGCTGGAGTAGAGGGAACGAGGATCATGTAGAAGGCCTTATCCAGCCGAGCATAGGGGACTGGTAGTGGAGTGGGGTGTAAGCAGGTTCGATAGGTAATGAAATCCTAGACGTTGAAATGATTTATAGGCAAATGTGAGGATAAAGAGCCAGTGAAGCCTGGCTTGGACCTGGGTGATGGACCCGTCAACTTTGGTGTGGGTGAGAATACAGACGGGTGTTTTTGAATCAGTTGGATTTCATGGGTGGAGGAGCTGGGGAGGCCAATAAGGAAGGCATTGGAATTGAGGGGGAGGTGACAAATACATGAATAGAAATTTCAGTTGCATTGGGTAACAATAGTTATTACATTTACTGCTGTAATGAATTTGTTAAGAATTAACTTATGTTTAATTGTTTGTATGTATATTAATTTGTTCCTGAGTTGTGCTTTGTTGTCTGGTAATATATAATTCATAAAGCATATTTGAGGAGAGCTGATTTATAGTAGTAAGTACAGTAATTTGTTAAAGCAATTTTATTAAATCCTCTGATCCACTTACTTTTGTACATCTACACATCTGAGTGTAGGCTTTTGAGAGAATCCAGTTTAGCAAACAACTTAAGGGGAGGAATTCCACCTGGGTGTAGATTTACTCTGATAACATAACATTTCAGAACTTACAGATTTTGTCAGATTCTAAGAATAGTCTTTGATTTTAAAGCCGGTTTTCCTTACATTTAAGAACTATAGAAAACGGGCTTCAAAGTTAAAACTGAATGCAACAATTTGCTGAGTTCTGTACACTCTGAAATGCTACATTAATGGAGTAGCCCAAAAGGAACTTTACCCCATTAATTTTATTAATGACTTACGTTTCTTTACTTTCTTTAACTCTAAATATTACAGAGACCAAACTGAAGACAGAACACAGATATTGAAATTAACTTTCACTGTACTTTTCACACAGCCTGTCAATACTTACCTTAAAAAAAACACATAAAATTGACATTTCTTCAAAATATTAAATGAAGGAACCATGGCAACAATTTGGTTCTAAACTTGTCAGTATCCATCAGTGATGTGATACAGCTATCTTACTGGAGAACCCTGCTATAATATTATTACATGGGTTCGCTTATTCGGTTCCCACATTTTTCTATACAATAAGATTGATATCACGCTGTTGCAAATACATCATCACACTTCAAATCAAGCTTGAAATCCCTGTAATGCTTCAAAACACATCAGTACCCTGAAATTTGAAGCTAGTAACACATTTTCAAGTGCAAACAACATTGTGATGTGCAGTATGTTGGGTGCTAATGGAGCGGTGTGGTATTTGACATCATGATGCAAAAACACTGACCGGCAGCTGCTCTCGATCATGCCCCTTTATAATAATAAATAATCTTAACATTTGACATAGCGTCTTATCACGTCGTTGAGAAGTTTCAAAACACTGCACAGGATTTTGTACTGCAAAGAGTAATGATTGTATTTGTAGGTAAACACAACAGCACAATGTCCACCTAAACAGACAGATGGAGCTGTTGTTTAACGTGTCATGCTGACGATGGTAACTTGACAATGCAGAACTTCCCCAGCTATGTTCTGGAATATCAGCCACAATGTGAGCTCAAAGTCCTGAACATGCTTGAACCCACAACCTTTCGACTCGGAAGCAAGAGTGCTCTTGAGTCAGGCTGCCACGTTCTAAGCCAGGTTGGAATTTTATAACCCCAGCTACCTATTTCCTAAAATACAGTCACTGTACTTTAAAGTCAATCCTATGAAGTGCTTTGGGACATCCTGATGTGGAAGGCGTGATATTAAATGAAAGGATTATTATTTGTTTTACCACCTTATAACTGGGTCGTTTTGTATTAACCTTAGATGAAGCCTCAGCACAATCACTGCACTTACAGTGCTGCATGAAACTCATCACAACTAGAACAAACCATTGGAAGTAACAAGCATCCCAGATGTCATATCAGTGGTACCTTTGGTTTAATAATAAAACTCATTGATTAATTTGTATGGTGGTGGCACGTGATGAATTCTAGTAATTTTAAAACCCATTATCTTCATGTTTGCATCATATATCACCGAGAGCAGTACAGGTAGTTTAACGAACACTCCAAGCCTTTTTGCTTTATCTAGAAATCTAGAGGAAATTAATGCAAAAACTTAAGTGCTGCATCTAGATTATCTTATGCTGATTGATCAGTTTGTTGGCTAAATTTAAAGGTTTTTTTGCCATTTCCCAATTTGTACTGAAAGGTTTGATTTTATATGAGGCGCTTTGAGACGTCTCGACGGCGTGATAAGGCGCTATATTAAATGCAAGGATTGTTATAATAATTACTATTATTTTCCGCAGGTTGGTTTAGTGTTGCAGTAGAACTCACAACACCACTTTCATAGAAGCCAATTGCGTCTCGGGGTCCAAAATCATGCCTTCGTTTGACCAATGACCACAATCTACCAGCTCAACACGGATTGCTGTGGAAGAATGAGCTTGTAATTCCAGTTTTGTGTCGCTTTCAACAGAATGGAGGCCATCGAATTTTTTTTAGAATTTGGTTTTGTTGTGCAGTGAAAAGTGTTGCATAATTATATGGTATGTTGTTGGGAATCTAAACCATTGAGAAAAATGTTATCTTTTAACCATTAGCAACCTGCATAAAAATTCTCATAAAATGCCTGAGGCAGCGATTCGTACATAATTCTTTTTTTCATTCAATGAAGTGGATCTATATTTAGATTTTCATGAAGAATATTTGCTGCTACCTTAGGTAGTAAGGAACTGAAGATTGTTTTTCCTGGATGTTGATGGTTTGGTTTGATCTTTTATACAAATGAAGTGCAGTAATTAATCGTATGAAGGAAACAATGTTACTGATGACTGATGTATCTGCTAGGTGGTCTTGTACTGCCAGGCAGATTTATATTTATTGACCAGTGTTTTGTAAGTGTTTACTATTGGAACAGTGAAGGACCTATGGTACAAACTGACTGACTAATTTTTACCTGATTTATGTCATGTGCAAGACAGTGAAGGATTTTTTTCAATATTGCAGGGCTGTAAATGACAAAATGTACTACTTTGCCTGCAGCAGAAATAAATTGCAAAAGTGTCCCACTATTCTGTACGGCGCCCTTGATGTCAACAATGCAATCTGGCTGCTATTAGACAGTGTTTATGGCTTATTGGTAGAGGGGCTGCTGCTTTGCCCACTTTTTTTTATGTAAGGCTGAGACAAAGCTTTATTTGTCGCCGTTAGTTTTTAAAGCTTTTTTTTAAAAAAAGAAAACAAAGCCACCTGGCGTGGCCTGGTAGCACAGTGGTAAAAAGCGCTTGCTTTACAATTCAGAGATCAGGAATTCTGGTCCTGGGGCAGTTTGACGCGTCAACTGCTGGCCCTGGTTGTGGCTAATTGTCTCAGTTCTTGGCCAGGACACAATTGGAGCACTTGCATTGATGGCAATTACAGAGGTGTCTAGTGCCTGGAATACCACCTAAAGGACAACTGCATGTCGAAGCACCAAATGTGGGGACAAAGATGTAAATTTCAAAACTGAAATAATGAGAAACTAGCTTTCTTCTGCCAAATATTGTTGTATTTTCATCCTCGGCATGTGGACATCCAGGTATTTCTGTTTCTTTGGATATCTGGGTACTGAGTCCTGGTGTGTATGTTTTGATTTTGGGGTGTTTCTTGAGCACAGAACTGCACATACCTGATGATAAACAAAATCAAAGGGAGATACTTTTTGTTTGCTTTTATATTGAAGAAAACATGAAAGCTGAAAATAAATTTTGTTCTATGTTGTGTTTTGCACAAAATGTGTAAGAGGAAGGATCTGGGGCTTGCTTGTTAAAGCATGTTTAGCTATCCAGCAACTCAAAACTTTGACTGTTCAAGCAGCAGGTTGAAGTTTACTATTACTGCTATGCCTGCTTCATTGAAAAGGTCCCAAACAAGAAAGGGAGATTGCAAGCCAACATCCATTCCTAAATCTGCTCTGGAACCAAGGACCAGCACTGGATATGTGTTTTCTGGAGGAAGGATGTACTTTTGAATTTAAATGTTTTTAGGATCATCAGCATGGCAGTTTGATGTCTGAATTAATAAAATCATTACAACTTTGTTATTACTTTTGCATAGTTTAATTACCTTTGGATTATGTGCTGTGTTTGGTACTTTAATGGTGTAGCATGAATATCTAAATGTATAATAAACACCTAACCCTTTAATTTTTTTTACAGGTAATTATTTTTTCATCCCCTTCTTCTAGGTCTTTGTACTTAGACCCTGGTTGAGAGGATAGAGAATTGCTCTGCCAATGCTGATCTGTGAGCAGTGTGAGGATTACATTTCCGTTGACACTTTTTCATCTACCACTGTGGGGGCCAGTCTAGTCTCCATTCTTTGTCTCCCCTAATAAAACTGGAAATCTATGGTGGAGATGAAAAATTGTGGGCTTAAACGTGCATCCTATTCACACCTGTCTGTTAGAGCTCCAGCATGCTGCATTGCCCATAAAATAAATGCACTATTTAAAGGTAGCACAAAGTATTCACTGTATGCGAGTGTCTGCATTTGTATCACAAAGGAGTTAGATTAATTTTATTAATGATACCAGAAAATGAAACTATTGAAAATGAATACAACTATAATTGAGTAATGTAAACAGTTTAAAAAGCAACCAAAATACCTCCCCAGATTGGCTCATTTATTAAGTTTGCACCATGGAGCCAGAGGGGGTGGCAAGTGGAGAGAATTAGAATAGGATCTAATTTGTGCTTGGACTTTTTTCAGATGTTCCTGACTTTCCACCTTTACAATAGCCATTTTGCAAAACTCACAAGTTAAAACAGATTTTTTAGAAAATTCTCAAACTGAAAATTGCAATTAGTGTATCAAATCCAGTTCGGAATGTGGCAAATTAGACCCCGTGTTGTTCACAATTTTCTTGCATGAAAGATCAGGAAGGCCACACACTCCAGATACTCATCCAGTGACACTTTCCCATTTTTCTCCCTCCACCTTCCCACTGGAAAATCACAGCTGTGAAGATTGGGCTTGTGAATTCACTGCAGGTGAATAGCATGTCCACACTGCTGGGTTCACACATGGAAGAATAGTCACTTGGGCAAGACTTGAGGGTATTTGTGGAGCAATGGCTCTGTCTTCAGGAAAGAATATTGGATGGGGTTGTATGTAGTATGGACAAGTGGGAAAACAAAATAATGTTTACAGATTAGGATGATGAACCTCCGGTAACATACCTTGAAGCCTATGAAGAAATGAAACCAACTCGAGCGGCTTTACAGTAGCTTGCAAAAGATATTTTGTGAGAAAAAACACAACTTTGAGTAATAAAATGGTATAAATAATTTCAGATTGAGCCACGAAAGTATAATGTGAATCTTCATTTGAAGCAATTGTTTTGACCCTGATAATCCATTCAAAGCTGGTATTTGCTTTCTGTGAATGTTGAGTGTGAAACTTGACAGGTGTTCAACAAAACCTGGTCATTATTGAGCAGCTACTGTATAATACTTTTCATATGGGTGAATACATGAATTGTAAATTTAACAAATGTACTGTAAAAAATAAAACCATATGTTAAAACAGTGCTGGAAGAAATTATATTTGATGAAGCAGTTCCTCATATAGGGTTTTGTGTCAAATACACAACTAACTAAAGTGTAGACTAAAAGCTATAGTAGCCTAGGTTGTGGCACTCTATACTGATCATTAAACGTTTTAATTACTTGATGTATGTCACCATCAGCTGTCCTGACGTGCTGAAGCTTTCCTCTTTCAAATCTATTTACTAAAATATTTCTCTGGATTTTGGATTACACCTTTCTAATTGTTTTTAATTGTCTTCCAATATGACTTTATCCAGCTAATTTTTATGGTAAATAACTGTCTAGAAAATATACCCGCAAAAGTAATTACACTCAGACACCAGGGTAACTGGCCTCATCTGATGAGGCACGTTAAAATAAGTGACCAATTTAACAGGGACACATGCCAATTGTCCACTTTAGTTTATGATTTTCAAACTTCGCTGTTAACATACCTTTAAAAACATGCACATGTATAAGTACTGTACATTGCTGTTACCTAAAGAAAAATGTGTAGACTGAGCATGACTTGTGCACTTACAAAACCAACCACCTTCCATTTCTTTGATCAGAAATGGGCAGTGAGAGGAATCTGAGTTGAGGCCATTTAAAATAATTTGGGAGTGTGATGCTGCAGGTGCAGAACATCAGGAAAATCTGTACATAGTGTATGAACACAAAGATCATAGGAGATAGAATTACCTTGTGTTATTTGTATGAATATGATTTGGTGTAATTCCGTCTTTCGCAGTGAAATAAAATCAGTCCGATGCAATAGAGGTCTGGGTTGGGAGGGGATTATGTGAATTTCTTTGATGAGCAGCTATACATGTCTGGTTGGTATTAAATAAGATGAAGTGCACTCAGTCTTTTTTTCTACATTATTGAAACTGGTTTTAGTTTAACAATTGAATGCACATTATATAATTATAAAGCGAGTACTTTGTAGTTTCTGTATGAAACTTTTCCAGTTTAAATAAAATCAGATTAAGTGTAAAATCACATGCGGTAAGGGTTAGACCAGTCGTAGTGATATCATCTGAACGTTTTTTTCCTGATCTTTAAAGAACATGTTGACAAAGAGTTACAGTATTTCATGAATACCACCTCACTATAGGTAACACTGCACAAGAAACACGTGCTTTAATTCTGTAATCAGATGTCATTAACAGCTCTTAATATGCACCACTAACAGTTAAAGCAATTGTGTGAAAACATATCCAATTTAATTTAGAAATGAACACCAAATCAAATCTTGCTGCCCAGATATGTTTAATGTAAGTATAGAGCAATCAGTAGTTGATATTTAACAAAGAAGGAGTTTAACGGAGCAGTGCTGGCTGGTAACATTTAAGCTTAAGAATGAAGCATCAGCTGCTGCAATAGCATACACATTAGAAACCAAGTGTTCATGACAAACAGCACAGTAATACAGGACTGTCCATGAACTTTAGTCAGCATCACTTAGTTTGTTTTCCGTTTACTAGTCCCGCATGTTGGTTCTATTCAGGTACTTGCATTTTGTATAAACATATCACATCAAGACATCTCAAAGCACTTAATAGGATTTACTGTAGTGTAGTGACTGTTTTGTACGCAAACACAATACAATTTGCATAGCAGTGGTTCACAAACAGCCATGAAGTGGTGATTTAATTTTATTTGGAAGATTGTTGGACAGCAGGAGATGCTTTCCTCTTTTAAAATACTGTAGTGCATGGGATCTTTAACATCCTGAACAGGCAGGTGAGATGTCGTTTTAACATCACATGCAAGGCACTTCCAATAATTCGATACCCCCAAAGCACAGCATTAGAAATGTCAGCCTAGATTGAGCTCAAAGTACTGATTTGGGGCTCAAACCTACAAACTTCTGACTCAGAGGCAAGAGTGTTACCAACTGAGCCAGGCTGACACCAAGCTTATCTGCCAAAAAAGGAACATAGGAAAACATGAACAGGAGGAAGCCATTCAGCTCACTGAGTCTGTTCCACCAGTTTATTAGATCTTGGTAGATCCTTTAATCCCAACACTTCCTCTTTTCATCATTCATCATTCCCCTTAATATGTCAATACTCTATTGATTCCTCCGCCACAGCTTTCTGGGTCAGGAAGCCACATTTTAAGAGCCCTTTCACGTTGAGCGCTTGTCTAAAGAGTACCTTCACCCTGCCAAGGTTAGCCGAGCACACTCCGACTTCCACTGCCAGCAGGTCCTGGTCATTTTTTTTACAACCAAATCACCTGTTAACCTCCTCTGCTCTAGACAATAGAGTCTTCCCTTCAGCCCAGGCATTAATCTAGGGAACTGTTCTGGACACCCTCCAAGGCAAGTACAGTATATCCTTCCAAAACTGGGCACCCAAAATTGAACAAATAAGATCTAGTCCTGGCTTAATACAATGCAGTGAGAATTTTCAGAGGAGTAAAATGCCACATGTGAGACTAAATTATAGGTTTTGTTTTGGTCAGTCAAGTGTCTGACACATGCGGATACCCATCACTATGCTTAAAGAGTATCCAAACCAGACTGAGAGCTCCATTCATTCCACCTCTGTACATAGAAATTCCAGAGATGGAATGCGCACTCTCCCCCGGAGGGACTCCTCCTCCTTACCTAATTCCAGAAAGTATTAGGCATAGGTTGGCAAGAGCCAAGGCTTGGGGAGCCCAGAGTGTGCATTGGGGTACTGCTGGAGTCTAACCAGCTAAAACCACACAGCTTGCCATTGTCTGGAGAGTTTTCTCGCTGCTTGTCCAGCTAGGACCACCCTACCCGTTAGAGCTGTGGCTTGCAGGGTTAACAGGAGCTGAGTGGGATGGCTTCCTGCCCCAGTCACTGACTTAATAAACAGTTTAAAAATGTTCAAGTAAAACAATTTAACAAAATTTACAAAAATGCTAGTTTCTGATATTTTGTTTAAAATTAAAATTGCATAATAGAAGCCAAACTTGCCTGTTTACATACATTGTATAAAAATCATCAAAAAGAAAATTGAAATTGTACTCTAAACCCAGTTTTCTTTTAAAACATAGACTAGAGTTATTATTATTATTAATATTATTATTATTTTAGAGTTCATTTTTAAAAATGTTCTTTTGGCTTCTTAACATTTTAACACAACATATATAAATGGCCTAACATAGATTAAAACGGCCACAATTAATGATGATAATATAAGGTCCAGAGGTTTTATGACAGTATCAATGTGACAAATTTATTTTTCAGCAGTGTAAAACGATGGGCAAACCACACTGACATTTATAGGAGGATATTCCATAAGAAGGTTAAGCAGTGAAGGAATGACAATTTATTGCCAGTCCCCTGTCAGCTGTGATTTTACACTGCATAGTTATAGATCCTCTTTTTACACAGAAAACCTGCTTGGGTTCATTCAAAAGGGCAACTGAATACTACTAGTAAATGTAATTATTAATATACCATTCAAAAACTTGGCATAATAATTAGTAGATCCTGAAATGTAAAGCTGATCTTGGTTATTCTTTATTTAACCTTGCTTTGTGCTTCCAGATGAAGTTAAAATGAAGAGCTACAATTACACTTTTTAAACAAATATAATTGCTGTGGAGAATAGTACACCTACTCAAAATTCAGTTGTCCTATTTTGCATTCATGTCCCAACCCCACTATCACAGTAATGACAATGTGACAAATTTCTCAAAAACCTGAGATTTATTCTTCAGGTCATTAACTTCATATCTGCTGGTGAGACATTACTGTACACAAATTGGGTGCCCGTTAACTTGCAAAATTCAGTAACTACTCATTGCAGAACAAAATCCTGTGAAACACTTTGAGCCATTACTACCAAAGGTGCTATATCAACTGTAAGGATTATTATTATTATTTTGTGAGACACTGCTGTGCACAATTGGCTGTTGTGTTTCAATAACAACAACAAAATTACATTTGTCCTCCCGCTTTTCACATCGGGAGAACGTCCCAAGGCACTGGACAGACAGAGTTTCGCCCACAAAATACACAGTCACTCCACTTTACAGTATATTCTGTGAAGTGCTTTGAGATGTTTCGAAGACATGATAAGGCACAATATCAAATCAAGGATTACTATTATTATCTGTGGTTATTTAACTGCAACTGAACTAATACGGTTGCCACATAATCAATACATGGCAATTCTCCCCAGTCAGTGGTAATAATAAACCTAAATGAAAATACCTAAATTAAAGCTCATTGTAGTTTGAAAGCTATGGAATAATACACTTTGAATGGGAAGTTAAGATCTGCAAAGAATTTTAATTACAAGCTCACAAAAATATTTGTTATTCTGTGTTTATACTGCCGGAAGTGAAATTAATTTTTTTTGCCTTTCTTTCACAGAAAAAAAATGAGGTTGTAGGTTTGGCACGTAGATCTTTGAGAACAAAAACAAATCTGTTCTTTATCTAAATTGAACAGGGAAGAGAAATGTGTTTTGGAATATAAAACAGTCTTTTTGTACACAAAGAATTCAGAAGCCTACGAGATCCTGATCAGCGTACAGAGTCGTTCAGAAAGCAGGGACTACTTTAAACGCAAATGAGAAAATTCACATCAGTTGTCAGGTCCAGTGGATTTTCCTCAATGTCTCTGTGAGTAGATTATCCATCTGACCCTGGACTTTCCTGAAACAGTCATTAGACAATTAGGTTTGATCAGGTAGGTAAGCAATAAATAGAATAAATAATAATCCCTCCAAAAAACAAAAACAATAATAAATCGGTCATTTTCAATCCACAACTGTTTGTTGGACACTGCTGTGCTCTGCGTTTCGCCCACAAATATACAGTCAATTCACTTTACAGCATATTCTGTGAAGCGCTTTGAGACGTCTAGAAGACGTAAAAAGAGCTATATCAAATGCAAGGATTATTATATGTTATAAATATGAGAAATCAGGAGGCAATCCTCAGTCTTCAGTTCTTCCTAAAATCTAAGGTTTTAAAGCCCATACATTGTAATAAAATGCTAATTCCAGCATAAAATAGAAATATATGTTTTAAAAGTACTTTTAATACAGTCATCTGAGAAAAATTATATTCCCAGCATTAATAATCCTTGTGTTTGCTGCAGCACCTATACCATTAAAACATCTCAAATGTCTAACAAGGTATTACTTACAGACTGGAGCAGTGACTATATTTTGTAGGCAAACACATAGGCAATTTGTACACAGTAAAATCCTCAAAACAGTCAAGAAGTGAATAACCAATAAATCTGGAGGATTATTAATCAGGTAATTGGCGGAAAAAACTCCTTTCTCTTTTGAATAGTGAAATGGAACTTTTCATGGTCACCGGAACAATATTGCCTTCAACTCCTGGTGCCTTAATTTTAACTAATAATCTTTTGAGACTGAACTATTAAGGGCTTTGCGAAAAGTCTTAAAGGATTGTCTGCCATGTTTCACCTACAAAATACAGTCAATCCACTTTACAATATATACTGTGAAGTGGTTTGAGACGTCTCAATTATGTGATAAGGCACTATATCAAATGCAAGGATTATTATTATTTGTCAAGATCTGATAACTGCAGGAACAGCTTTGATGGGCTGAATGGTCTCCTACTGTTCCTGTTTTCCTATGTTCCTACCAATTGCTTTCTGAAAATCAAATCCCCTTTATCTAAGGCTATCGCTAGTTCTGTCAGAGTTGTAAAGCTCTATCTACGAGATTTGAGATCACAGAGGTAGGGAGTGCTAGAGCGTGAAAGGATTTGTACGTGAGAATGAGGATCTTAAATTCAATCCACTGGGAGTCTCTGGGACCTGGCAAGGCTGGGGTCCATGCTCAGGCAAAGCTTGGTATGGTTTAGGATACAAGCATTTTTGGGAAGGAC